ATTCTAAATTGCTGCCTCTGCTGTTTGAGTGCTTGGTCCCATAACCAGTTATGAGTTTCATTCTAAAGAACAAGAGGGAGGGGGGTCAATCTAATGTCACTGGGTAGAAAGTTCCATAGGTGAGGGACCACCAGAGAGAAGGCCCTGTCTCTCATCTCCACCAGTCGCATTTACAAGGATGGTGGGACCGAGAGCAAGACCTCTCCCATCGATCTTTGACTGTGCAATGGTCCATAGCAGGAGATACGTTCAGACAGGTAAGCTGGGCCAGAACTATTCAGGGCTTTATAAGCTAAAGCCAGCACTTTGAATTGTGCTTGGCAGCAGACTGGCAGCCAGTGGAGCTGGCGTAGCAGAGGGGTTGTATGTCGCTTTCTGTATGTCTGTATAAAGCTTTCATCGGGGGGAGTGGGGAACAAAATCAAACAAAATATTGGTCTCAGCCAGAGGGCTTCTCTTAACCCTTAAAAAGAAACTCCAGAATTCATCCCTATCATTTCTGTTCAAAGTTTATTGCCAGTATTGTCAAATCAACGTAGAGTGTGGGTTCCTAGCATCCACGGAAACAAAGGCTCTGTGGATATGGATTCCCACTTTAGAGATCCAGGCACATTTTAGATGCTGCAACCAATGTTTATTTCTAGCACCTCTGCTACTCTTCTCATGGGTTTGGTCAACCACTCCAAACATAAATGAAAATCTAAACAAAGGGCCCTTCCGCACAGCCATATAACCCAGAATATCAAGGCATAACATCCCACAATATCTGCGTTGAGGTGGGTTATCCGAGTCCACACTGCCATATATTCCAGTTCAAAGCAGATAATGTGGGTTTTTTTTCAGCTGTGTGGAAGGGGCTCCAAATTCCTGCTCCAGGTAGATGTTTAAGTACATATAAGAAATGCATGTGATGTATATGCTAACGGTTTGAACCACTATCTTTTATCATTAGCAAATATCACCATGGTAATATTCATGAGGACCACGATCATCATTCATTAGACCAACAGCAGCCGCATTAGGAGGAACTCCATAGCAGAATGATTAATTTTAGAGTCCTGAGATGACCCTAGTTCTCCACACTTCTAGTTAAAACAACTCATAAGAAGATAGGATGCTGTCCTATATTAAGTCAGACAATTTATCCACAAAGACTAGTATTGCCCTCTTAAACTGTCAGTAGATCTCTATCTTGATGTCACCTGGTCATTGTTAACCACAAAAGACCCAGAATATTAACTGGGACCCTCTCCATTCACAAACATTTCCTCCAGCATTTGTCTATCATCCATCACTCCAGAAAAGGAGTTTCAAATACAACAGCTATGAAGGAATATGCTTCCGATACACTGACGCATCATCATCAATCAACATGGATGTCTACTGGCTTGTTTTTGATCACCTTGACCCTATCATCCATACATCGACCCCACCAATGCAGGCCCAATCCCATAGCAGCCAGTCCTATGGATGCCCAAACTCACCCGGCCCAGGGCCACCAATCAAACTGCTTGTTTCAATGACACCACCAATTCAAGTAGTTGGTTGGCCATGCTATCTGCCAATGGGAATGCCCCTTTCAAAAGAGGATCTGTGCCAGAGTTGAAAAGGCTAACGGTTTGATCCCTGGCACATTTCAGCTTTAGGCATTGCTTCAAAATGTAGAGGTGGACTATGGAGGAAAACAACAGCTCTCACTAAGTTATTTATGCAGAAAGGTAGCTGTATTAGTTTCCTGTAGCAAAACTGAACCACCAGGAGTTCTCAGCCACCGAAAAGATGAAGAAATGTATTGTCAGATGTATCCGACAAAGTAAGTGCCAATCAACCCAAGCTGACACTGCAAATACATTTGTTTCTCTTTTAAGGTGCTGTGTGACTCTTGGTTGTTCTTACTAAAAATGCCAATCAGACCTCTTTTAATACCATCAGTGGAACAACACTAATAACACAACTTCAGTACTGGATCAGTTTTGATATGACACGATCGTTCAAGTGATACTTTTGAAATTTTTGCCAATATTAGCTTTTTCTGTTGCACCGACGTCTGTGAATCTGCAAAGACACAGAAAGAATGCATTTGTCTCTCCTTCTCTCCTACTCTCCTCCCCCACCTCTGTGAAATTGTTTGGTAGGTGACTCAGGAAAAACAGAAGCAAGAAACAAACACATTCATTAGCAGAACAAATAGGTTTTAAGAACAATTTAGGCAAATTCAGAAAAGAATACAGATGGCAACTGACCACGGATGACAGCAAAATGGAACCTCCCTCTTCAGAGGTAATATACCTTCAAATACCAGGTGCTGGGAGAAGAGAGGCAGAAGGTGTCCTGCTGGAAACATCAGTACTGCACCAGATGGGCCTTTGTTCAGTTCCAGCAGGGTTCTTCTGGTGTGCTTAATTCAATCAGGCCAACTCTGGCATTCCAAAATGCCAGTCCTTATACCATCGCAACCTGCATCGCTACAGATCCAAGACAATTCCAGGAGAAACACCACAGCTCTCAGTAATCTCATTCTGCCACTCCATGCCAACAACTGCACCACAATGTTGAGTAGAGTCTGCACCACTCTCAATACTGCTGGTCAAGCTGGGCCAGCATCCATCGACATACAAGCATTCCCCATAATACCATCAGCTTCAATGACCTGCTCCCCAGTTGTCCCTCCAGGCTAGGGCTATTGAGATAAACACCAGCAATGAAGGAAGTGATGGTGTTTGTAGAGTGTAGTAGAGAAGAGTGTGCCAACGATGAGAGCAAAGGACAATAACCCAAGCAAATGGATGGATCATGTATGCGTTGACTTGGAATTAAGTCCCACTGAGTTCATTGGGTAAGTGTGTGCACAAAGTATAGCCTTGCTCCCCCAAAAGCAAGCATTGGGGCCAACATCCCCTAACGCCTCTCAGTGTGCCTCCCACCTTCTGTCCTTTCCATCTATCCTTTGGGGCCATCACTGCCTTTATAAATATTCTAGTTGTCATCACCACCACRATTATCTCTATCATCACCTCTCTCCAGTCTCCCCCCCTCTCTCGTTTTCCACACTCAGCAGACACACACACGGCACACAAGTCTTTTGACGAGTCCCCACGCAAACAAACACATCCCCCTGRCAAGGAACACACGTACAAGCCTTTCATTCACAAACCCACGGTCTCTTTGTCCCCCCCCCCCCCAAATGTCCAGCCATCAACGCAGTGTGTACACATCCCCTCCTGTTTCTTKCCAGACCAACACAGTGTGTCCTGTGTTTTCCATCCACTGTACATCCCCTTTGCAGAGCTTTCGGCAGCTTGCTCTGAGTCCCGTCTCCCCAAGACACCCAGAAGCAGGGATAGGAGGGCAAATGCAGCATTTGAAGAAGTACACACAAAGATACACATGTAGATAATTGTCACGAAAAGCAATGCCAAGGAGGCCCCTAAAAGAGCTGATGGAAAGGTGGAACCCAAATTGTTGTGATCCCTCCTTGGGAGAAAACAAACATGGATCTGACACCAAACCAATGGTGAAAGAAGGAAGAAGAGGAAAGGAAATGCCAAATGAGGATCTAAATGAGCAGTCCAGCAGAGAGCAAGCTGGACGGTGGGAAGGTGGTACCCAAATTGTTATGATCCCTCCTTGGGAGAGAGAGAAATAATCTGGATCTGACACCAAATCAATTGATGTGAAGGCAAAAGAAGGGAGAAGAGGGAAGGAAATGCCAAGTGAGGATCCAAACGAGCAGTCCAGCAGAGAGCAAGCTGGACGATGGGAAGGTGGTACCCAGATTGTTATGATCCCTCCTTGGGAGAGAGAGAAATAATATGGATCTGACACCAAACCAATCCATGTGATGGAGAAAGAAGGAAGAAGAGGAAGGAAATGCCAAGTGAGGATCCAAATGAGCAGTCCAGCTGGATGATGGAAAGGTGGTACCCAAATTGTTATGATCCCTCCTTGGGAGAGAGAGAAATAATACAGACACCAAACCAACTGACGTGATGGCAAAAGAAAGAAGAGGAGGAAGGAAATGCCAAGTGAAAATCCAAATGAGCAGTCCAGGAAAGAAAGCAAGCTGGATGGTGTGAAGATAGTACCAAAATTGTTATGATCCTTCCTTGGGAGAGAGAGAAAAATAATAATAATCTGGATACAACACCAAAAGGGGAGCACAGCAATGGATGTGACAGAGAAAGAAGGCGGAAGGGGGGAACATAATGCCAAGTGTGGATCCTAATGAACTCTCAAGAAGAGAGCAATCCAGGCAATAGGAAGGGGGTAACAATTTTTGTGGTCATTGTATTGTCGAAGGCTTTCATGGCCAGAATGACTGGGTTGTTGTGACTGACGACCTCTGAGGATGCCTGCCCTAGATGCAGGCGAAACGTCAGGAGAGAATGCCTCTGGAACATGGCCATACCGCCCGGAAAACTCACAACAACCCTTCGCGATCCTTCCTTGGGAGAGAGAAAAGAATTACCTGGATCATATGACACCCAAAAAAAGAGGAAACAGCAATTGATGTGATGGAGAAAAAAAATAAAAGGAAGGAAATGCCAAGTGAGAATCCCAATGAGCTGGACGATGGGAAGGTGGGCTCAGAATTGTGCCCATACATAGACCTCGTTTCCTTGGGAGGAAATAACAAATAACGTGGGGTCATAATAATAATACACCAACATTGAGAAAGATGTGGAAAGGAGGAAATGGTAAATAAACATGTAGATGTGTCTAGGACAACTCCAGAAGTGAGTCTTTTGAGGGGGGRAARGGGGGGGGGGCAACCCTTCCATATAGGAGTCGAGCACCATGCCAAGCCCCATAGAGGTGCGATGGCGCTACCTTTTATGGTTGTGTSGAGCATTCCCACGCACACGCGCAGACACGCGTGCCCCAGGTACGCATTGGGTATTCCGTCCGCGTCCTCTGCCCATGCACACACTAATCCTCCCACCCACCCACCCCCCTCCCCTTGCAAAATAGTACCCCCAAGCAGAGCTGGAATGCGGTACCTTGGTGGAGGGCCAGCATGCCCATCCTGCAGAGCAGCGCGCCCAGGAGCAAGGGGCAGCTCATGGTGCTGGAGGGGCTGCAAGAGGTGGGTGCAAATGATGCTGCTGCAGCGGCGAGGCAAGGATGGAGGGAGGCAAGGATGGAGGGAAGCAGGTCCGGGCTGGCTCTCGCATCCGACCCACCAGCCTTGCTGCATCTCAGGCGGGAGGGAAGGAGGGAGGGGGAGGCGAAGGAGGGGGCGCCCGAGCTACACAAGCGAGAGGGGAGGGGGGAGGGAGGGGGGCACAAAGGGGGCGGGGAAGCCTCGGAGTGACAGCTGGGCAGAGAGGGGGGACGCGCCCCGCAAAGCCAATCAGCGCCCGGCATGCAAATGAGCCAAGTGGGGGCCCACCAATAGGAGAGAGGGGGGGGAGGCCGGTGTGGAGGGGGGTCCTGATTTATGAGGGGCTCTTTGTTACTGCAGCAAGGCTGGGGGGAGAGAAGAGGGGGAGGAAAGGGAGCAAGCCCCCAAATAGACACACTCCAGAGAAGGGAAACCTGGAAAGATCCCTTCCAAGCCAATCCTTCTTTTGGATTTCCCCCTTTTAGAGACACACACACAGAGAAGGAATGATTATGATGAGGCACCAAATCTATTTTCTCCCCACTCCTCCCAACCCACTTTCAAATTCTCTCTCCCCTTTTCAAAGCAACCCTCAGCACTTTCTCCCCCTTTCTAAGGAAACCCCATCACTAGGGATTCTGTCTCATCCTTGCATCAGATTCTCTCCACAACTCCCCCCAAAAGAAAAAGTGATACCTTTGCTTCAAGTAAAGGGAAGCCCCCCAAATAGTCACACTCTAGAGAAGGGAATCCTGGAAAGATCCCTTCCAAGCTTTCCTTCCTTCTCCCTTTCTTCTTTTCCCCACTCCCCCCACCCCCTTTCTAAGGAAACCCCATCACTAGGGATTCTGTCTGAGCCTTGCATCAGATTCTCTCCTCAACTCCTCCAAAAGGAAAAAGTGATACCTTTGCTTCAAGTAAAGGGAAGCCCCCCAAATAGTCACTCTCTAGAGAAGGGAAACTTGGAGAGATCCCCTCCAAGCCTTCCTTTCTTCCCTCTTCTTTTGGATTTCCCCCTTTTAGAAAGACAGAGAAAAAGAATGATAATGATGAGCCATCAAATCTATTTTCTCCCCACTCCTCCCAACCTCAGCTCCCCCAAAAGGAAGAAGTGCTACCTTTGCTTCAAGTAAAGGGAAGCCCCCCAAATAGACACCCACTAGAGAAGGGAAACATTCTTTTGGATCCCCCCTTCTAGAGAGACACAGAGAAGGAATGATTATGATGAGCCACCAAATCTATTTTCTCCCCACTCCTCCCAACCCACTTTCTTAATTTTTTTTAATTTTTAATCTCCCAACCCACTTTCTAAGGAAACCCCATGATTAGGGATTCCGTCTCATCCCTGCATCAGATTCTCTCCTCAGCCTCCCCCAAAAGAGGTTCAAGTATAGGGAAGCCCCTCAAAATGACAAACAGTAGAGATGGGAAACCTGGAGAGATCCCTTCCAAGCCTTCCTTCCTGCCCCCCTTCTTCTTTCCCTCACTTTCCCCCCTTCTAAGGAAACCCCATCACTAGGGATTCTGTCTCATCCTTACATCAGATTCTCCTCAACTCCCCCAAAAGGAAGAAGTGATACCTTTTGCTTCAAGTAAAGGGAAGCCCCCCAAATGGACACTTACTAGAGAAGGGAAATTTGGAGAGATCCCTTCCTTCCTTCCCTCTTCTTATGGATTTCCCCCTTTTAGAGAGAGACACAAAGAAGGAATGATTATGAGAAGCCACCAAATCTATTTTCTCCCCACTCCTCCCAACCCACTTCCAAATCCTCTCTCCCCTTTTGAAAGCAACCCCCAGCACTCCCCCCCCCTTTCTAAGGAAACCCATCACTAGGGATTCTGTCTCATCCTTGCATGAGACTCTCTCCTTAACTCCACAAAAAGGAAGAAGTGCTATCTTTGCTTCAAGTATAGGGAAGCCCCTTCCCCTCCCCAAATAGACACTAGAGAAGGGAAACCTTGAGAGAACCCTTCCAAGCCTTCCCTCCTTCCCCCTTCTTTTGGATTTGCCCCTTTTAGAGAAAGACAGACAGAAGGAATTATTATGAGGAGCCACCAAATCTATTCCCCCCCCCCATTCCTACCAAACCCACTTTCAAATCCTCTCTCCCCTTGTATCCCTAAAAGGAGGAACCCAAAAGAAGGGGGGAAGGAAGGCTTGGAAGGGATATCTCCAGGTTTCCCTTCTCTAATGTGTGTCCATTTGGGGAGCTTCCCTTTACTTGAAGCAAAGGTAGCACTTCTTCCTTTTCGGGGAGTTAAGGAAAGAACTTGATGCAAGGATGAGACAGAATCCCTAGTGATGGGGTTTCCTTAGAAAGGGAGGGGGAAAAGTGCTGAAGGTTGCTTTGAAAAGGGGAGAGAGAATTTGAAAGTGGGTTGGCAGGAGTGGGGAAAATAGATTTGGTGGTTCATCATAATCATTCCTTCTCTGTGTCTCTCTAAAAGGGGAAAATCCAAAAGAAGGGGGAAAGAATGAAAGCTTGGAAGGGATCGCTCCAAGTTTCCTTTCTCTAGTAGGGGACTCATCACACTAGAGAAAAAATCCACTTAAGATCCTGGTTCTGCCTCCTGCAGAATTCTGGGATTTGTAGTTTAGGGCAATGCCTTTAACTAAACTACAAACCCCAGAATTCTGCAGGAGGCAGAACCAGATTTTACGTAGTATGATGAAGTAGAAAGAGAAGGTGTTTCTCCTGGTATACTATTCCTTGATTTTGTCCAAGAAAGGGCCAAGTAGAGATACTAATGTGCTTGGAGGCAGGAACAGAATGCCCAATGCAACATCTACAGACCACAGAGGGCAGTTCAGTATATCATTTGGGAATTCCTGGGACTAAAAAAGATGCAAAGAGAAATGGAAAATACTGAAGCATTTTACATAATTAGACACTATTTCCTACATAATCAATGAAACAAATAGGAAGGCACAGATCGTATATTCCATGCACAGAAAAAGGGGAACCCTACCAAAATAATCACAGAGCTAAATCTATAGCTCTTGATGTGCTTATATATATATATTGCATTGTTCAGGGAACCACACATCGCAATATTGAAACCAGATGTGAGAGAGCTGAGGCTGCTTTAGCACAGCCTCTAAACCTTTCTTTCCCAAAGCCCCTTCCAACTCCTTCTGCCCCCCCCCCCCCCACCCCAGCAACCTCAATATATCACAAGCCTGCATTTTCTTAAGCTCCAGAGACATATTCGAGTTTTCCTTTCTCTCCACTCCCCCACTCCACCCTCCAAGTCATTTACTGGGCTCTTGTAGCACATACACACATAGCTTCAAGCTCCCTGCTCTTCTCTCTCCTTTCCTGGCCCTTACAGACACCTAGAGAGAAAGATCAATGAACTTGGACTGGGAAGTTTTAGGTGGAAATCACCACTCAAACCACAAATCTCCTTGTGAACCTATAGTCGTTCGCACTATCTCTGTTTATCCCTCTTGACAAGGTTGTTGTAAAGGTAAGAAGAGAGTATATTCAGTCCCCAAGTTACAAACTTCTGACTTACAAAGAACTCATAGTTAAGAATAGAGGTGAAATATAAGGAAGTGAGAGCAATCAACCCCTCGGAAGGGAAATTCACTCCTGAAAGAGTTATTATGGGGAAAAGGTGTCTCCACTGAAGCTTTATCTCCAATTCTTGTTTCCGCAATGAGCCAGAGTTTTCAAAATCCAATTCTCACAAGGACAGAAAGTGAGATGAAATCTTCTGAACAGGGGCACAGACAGCAAAACAAATACCATGGCAGTGTTAAACCTTCCCTTTGCTATCCAGAGCTAATATATATAATACTAGCGTGAGTACCGGGTGATGCTTGGGTTATTTGTTTTTGGATGTTAGGTATTATCAGTTTGGTCATATATTGCACTATTTTTGAGGGGGGAAACCTCAGTCTTTCCTTTTGTTTTTTTTATGAATGCTCCCATTAGAAAATGCATAAAGATGTGGGTGAACTACAGTTCCCAAAAGTCTTAGGTCAGTCCTTCCCAAGCTCTGCCAGTATTCACAGTTGGCCATCTTGGGTCTGTATGTCAAATTTGGTCCAGATCTGACAGTCAGCTGGGTCCAGTGTTCTCAGGATGTGGGTGAACTATAACTCCTTGATGCCAATGTCAATCACCCTCAAGTTTTGTGAGAAGGGGCTCCTGGCTACTACCAACACTTGGGGTTCCAGGGTCAATTATGAGTCCAGGAGCACCCCCAGACTGCGAACCTGCGTCTTCAGGGGGAGTGTGATCCCACACCCTGCTCTGCCTTCCGACTGACTAGGAGTACCTCTGTTTTGTCTGGATTTACCTTCAGTTTATTAACCCCCATCCAGTCTATCACTGATGACAGGCACCAGTTTAGGGGCATGATGGCATCCTTGGCTTTTGATGGAAAGGAGTAATAGAAATGGGTGTCATTTGACACCAAACTCCAAAACTCTAGATGATCTCTCCCAGCAGTTTCATGTAAACAGCATGGGGGACAGAACTGAACCCTGAGGGACCCCACAGGCCACTGGCCAGGAACTCAAACAGGAGTTCCCCAGCTCCACCATCTCGGTACGGCCCTCCAGGAAGGAGCAGAGCAACTGCAAAACAATTCCTCCCAGTCCTATCCTGGAGAGACGGTCCAGAAGAATACCATGGTAGATGGTATCAAAAGCAACTGAAAGGTCCAGGAGAACTAGCAGGGGCACACTCCACCATCTAGCTCTCTTCATAGATCATCCACCAAGGCAAGCAATGCCATATCTGTCCCATGGCCAGGCCTGAAATCAGATTGATATGGATCCAGATAATCAGTTTCATCCAAGAAACTTTGGAGTTGTGAGGTCACCACCTTCTCTAGAACCTTGCCCAGGAAGGGGAGGTTTGAAACTGGCCAGTAATTACTCAATTGAATGGGATCCAGTGCTGGTTTCTTAAATAAGAATCTTTCTACTGCCTCTCTGACACTGTTTGGCATTATGCCCTGAGTCAAGGAGGCATTAACCAGTACCTTCACCTACTCTTCCAGTCCCCATCCCTCACGACTGATTTAATGAACCAGGATGGGCAAGGATCTAGAGAGCAAGTAGTCACTCTCATTCCTCCCAAGATCTTGTTCCTGAATCCCCTTTG